GCAGCTACTTGCGACTGATTAAGTTGGAGACAACAAAGAGAGCACTAGCAGACAAAGCAAAGACAAAGAAGGCAGTCGAAGGCGAAGCAGACAATTGCTTTTAGACGATGAAGTTGATTCCCTTCAAGCAATGCAGACAAAGATGTTATCGCAGGAAGATGACGATGCCGTTTGAAGCAGTTCTAGACTAGGTCGACGCAGATGACTGAGACAGACAAAGAAGCAGACGGTCGAAGCTGTTATATTGTTTGTGGTAGACAAAGAAATAGATGATGCGATATATGATAGCAGATGCAAGATCCAAAAGAGCTGTCACACAGTCAGAACTTGCCCTAATCCATAGTTGATGTCGTTTGAAGGGAAGGAAGCATACGGTCACCCTCTTCGATGTCGTATACAAAGGAGATGAAGATTTGTTCCAATCGCGAGAGCTAGGGTTCAATTAGTAAACAATGCTCGAATTGGGCTCTGATACCATGTAGAAAACCAAAATTTGGGAAAAAAATTACTTCTTTTCATTATTCACATGTAGGGTACATATATAGGGAAACTGATCCCTCCTAATTTACCAACTTGCCGAATATATCTAACCAAAATTGTGAAAGGAAATAATTCTCAAATAAAAAATAAATAAACATAAATAAAAAAGGAATAAACACACAAATCAAGTGCTTTTCAAATTAATCTTCAATCAAATCTACTGTAAAGTTTTAGATAGTCTGCTGGTTCATCCTTTGAAACACCACTTGAAGCTTCTCAGATTTCCACAATTATCTTCATTGTTAGCCTCATCTCAACTATTTGGGATACACATTAGAATCATTATTTTCCATTTGTTTATGTTAACTATTGCTTTAGGCGTTCATATCTATTCTCTGTAAATTATTTTGTATAATTTATATGCATTTTTAGCTCAATCTCTTTTCTTGCCCCTAGTTTTCTAATTATAACAATTTTATCAAATTGTTTAATAAGCACATTTTCTACATTTTGTTATACATATACAAATCATCTAAATATATTTTTAATAACTCGAATAAAATAAATGCCATTCCAACCATTTGGTTACTATAATTATTCTCTAATATATTCTCATTTTTCTGCCAGTTGAATTTAATTTTTTTAATTTTGTCACATTTAACTTGGATTTCAATGATTTTTTATTACCCAATATATGGATTCATACGATGATGTTGACATAATTGTTGTTTTATAAAAATTACCTTTAATTGTTTGTTATATCCTCTTATTTTAGAAAAATCTTGATATACTTCTCATTTTCATCAAAACCATCTAACATTAATTTTAGAAATCATGTGCTTATTTTTATCTCCATTCTTCTGTTTACTAGAACCAAATACTAAACCTATTCCACTAATGAATAACCTAATCATAGGGGTTGAATGAAAATCTTAAACACTTGTCCATTTTATTTACATATTATATACATAATCTTTGTTTTACACTTTCCAATGCCTTTATTTTCCCTTTTATCCACTATTTAAATTTCACTCACTTCAACAATTGTAGCATTAATTAGAACTATATTATCAAAAAAAAAAAACATGTGCTAAGACATCTCTCCTTGAGTATCCTTATAATGTTCAGAGACGATAGGAAAATATAAATCCAATGTCGGCTTTTGGAAAAATTATTATGCGAACACCGCAAATTTTGTGTGTGGTGTCCGATCTGGATTGTAAAAAATTTAGAGTGGGCTCCACTCTAAAAATTAAAAAAAACAAAAAAAATGTATTTCAGTGGTCTAAATTGGACACCACACGCAAATTTGCATGCAGTGTCCGTACTTAATAAGCGCTCTGACTTTTGATGCAAATAAATAATAAATGTGAACTTCATAATCATTAGTACTAGTCCGTGCACTATCATATATTTCTTTTATAATGTCAAGAGATCCTTGACATTCTTTTTTGCCTTAAAGCATTCCAAATCTATTCTTGGGTACTTGTTTGTCATAAATCCAATGTCGGCTTTTGGAAAAATTATTGTGGACACCGCAAATTTTGCGTGCTGTGTCCAATTTGAACCGACCAAAATTTAGAGTGGGCTCCACTCTAAAAAAAAAACAAAAAGATGTATTTTAGTGGTTCATATTGGGCACCATATGCAAATTTGCATGCAGTGTCTGTACGCAATAAACACTCCGGCTTTTGATGCAAATAAATAATAAACGTGAACTTCATAATCATTAGTACTAGTTCGTGCGCTATCATATATTTCTTTTATAATGCCAAGAGATTCTTGACATTTTTTTTTTGCCTTAAAGCATTCCAAATCTATTCTTGGGTACTTGTTTGTCTTATTGAATTAATAAAAATCATATGACGATGCTTTTTTTGTTCTTTAAACTTCTCCATTAATTGTCTTAACACAAAGTATATCTAACATAGTAAATATTCCTAAGATTAAATCAAATTTGCTCCTTGAAATTGATGCAATTTTTGTTATACTTATGTTTTACTTCATCCAATAGCTTCATTGTATGTCTAATTTTTCTGAATTCTCTATAGTTAGCACACTTATGCATATCAACTTTGTTCTTTAATATGGCACCAAAAATGTTTCTCTCAAATCATTTAAAATCCTTCTAGTTTTCAAAATTTTTTTGAATACTTTTTTTGAAAACCCTTATCTTTGTTGATTAGAGCTGACTCCTTTTTTTTTTTCCTTTTACTACTACATAGTATATTTCACTATATTGATCATTATGTTCTTGCAAAATTGTTTAATTTTTAAAGCTGTAATAATGTCATTTGTTAATATAATATTTTCTTGTTTTCTTGATGTTACCCTCTCTTTGATGTGGATTTTGTTATTTTTACTTTTAAGACATATAAATCCCCAATCTTTATTTTAGCTTTATATATATATATATTTATATAGGTTCCAAACCTATTATATGAATTAATCAAAAGTTGTAATTTATGTTTTTTCAAAGCCTTCTTTGCAAGATTAATAAAAATTAGGATTGTTAGTGTCGTGGATCTTAATTGTAACTTTAATAGTTTAGCCAGTCTATTTGGTTACTTGTTTGTTACTTGACTATGGTCACATGAATGCGGACCTGGCATCAGCACAATTGTTGGAATTTAAATTACTTTCCTCGGCCAATTAATCTTAGAAGTGCTAATGGTTTGTTGGTGCCCTAATTGAGATTCATATTTACTTTTTTTTTTTTCTTTGGGCTTCCATAACTTAATGACATCCACTATAAAAGAAGGAGTAATGGCAAGGAAGAAATGGATGTTTTAAGTGCTCACTTGAAAGGCTATTTGGTTCTACCCATAGGAGGCCCTTCGACTAGGAAAACATGCTCCTATTTTTTCGCACACATCTCATTTGAGTTATAGTATTAAGTCATCCTAGCTGGCACCTTGTATTAAGGTGGCAAGTAGCGAGGCAAGCAACTTTTATTGATTGTAGAGATTTGTGCTAATACTTCTACGTTAGATGATGAATTAAGTTTTCATGATATTTTGATATGGGGTGATTCGAATCAATGACTCAAGGGGAAGAATGCCTGCTATGTGATAACCTGGAGTATATGTAGGTGCAAGGGCATCGATTTTTGAAATAGTGGTAAGTTTTGATTGTAAATAAGACAATTATGAGGAGGTAGAAATGGGTTCAAACTAGAATAAAAAGAGATCATGAGTGCTAACATAGATGGAATAGATAATATAGAAAAATTAATTATTCCAATACTATACATGGTACAAATAATAATAGTTTATCACACATGTTTAAAAAGTAAAGTTCTAAAATAGTCCTTCCGAGTATTTATATGGTGTCATTTTAGTCCTCGAGTCTATGAAGCGTCTAATTAGTATTATGAATTTTTTTAATGGGGGCCTAAAATAATCATCTTTTTAAAGAGCTGGGATTTTTTTATCCAAGATTGAACAGTCTGGGGAGTAAATTGACACTTTTATAGACTGGAGATTAAAATGACTCTTTGCAAAAAGTTTGGGAACCATTTTGACACTTCTTTCCTTATTAAAATAGTGTGCGTATGAAAATTTTGAACATAGAATACAATAGAATTTGGTTATTTATATTTTACCCGCTTATTATAATGTACTGATTTTCTTTTCATATAGATCATTTACATACATTCCCCCAATTCCTATGTTTTTACATATCTAACACCTAAACTTTATTTTTTACATTTTTACTACCCAAATTTTTCATATCACCTAAAAAATATCACAAATTTAATTTTTAATGTGCGGAAGACATTTTAATGCATAGGTAAAGTGGCATGTATGTTAAAAATTGTAAGTTAAATGCAAATACATTGGAATTTTAGTTTTATGTAAATCTTTCTTTCATATGTTAAACAATATTCATAGTACTTAAAATTAGTTTATACGTGATAAAGCTTTTTCATTTTTAACCTTATCTCACCAAGGCGATCATATAGGTTAGGTCTAACATTTTTGGGTATTGAGCAGCTATATTACCCATGAGAGGATCCAAATTGTTGGTAGTATGATTTGGTTTGTGGTTTTATTTTTTCAGTGATGAATTTAGCAAACTTAAAAAATATTCTTGTCCCAATTTGCTTATTTGAAGTTCATCAGTTGGTTCGAGCTGCATATATGACCATCTATTTAATTTGTGTGGCTGTTGAGCTGCCCTACAAATCGTATGTCCCATGTCTACTGTTTTTATTTTCTTGCTTTTATGCATCTTCAGTTGCTTATAAATAAGACGATCAAAATTTCTCTTCCGACTCCTCTCGCATGTAACAAGCTGACGATAATGATGATGAGCTAAATATGATAGAGTTGCTTCTCTTCTCCCACGTTTGATATTTATTTCCTTCTTCCATAACTGGTCTTGACCAACATAACAATCAGCCAGTAAACATGACGTATATACTGGCTTCTGTTATTGTTGATCACATTAATTCTTCAGATATCTCGGATTCTAATGAAATCTCTAAATGTTTGTGATTTTCCTTGTTTCTTTTCCAGGTTCGTTTCACTGTTTTAAGGGATAGTCTGCCCCTACCAGAGGAGAAATTTAAATCAGCTATAAAAGACAACTATACTACAAGGAACAAGTTCGATTGCCAGCTTTCCCCTGTTCAGGTTTGCTATATTCACACCATCCATAAAAGCTTTAACACACAAAATTAATGCCACATAAAGGAAAACTATAAATTTAAATCTGCAATAAAGGAAAAGTATACTACAAAAATTTAAATCAGCAATAAAGGAAAACTATACTACAAGTAACAAGTTTGATGGCCAATTTTTCCCCAGAGAAGGTTTGCTATTGTCAAACTGTATCGGTAAAGCTTTATCACACAGAAATTAATGCCACATAAACATTAATAGCTGTTCCAATAAAATCTTTCCCAAATATCTTTCCATAGATTATTTATGAAAGCGTAGCATTACTTGTTCCTATATATTGCTGCACAGGTAAGAAAACTATGCAAGTTATTTCAAAGTGCAACAGGCAGGGAAGCAGTCATGCCAAGCTCCAGAGCAAGGGAACCAAAACGCAGGCATGTGAGGAGAGAAATTTACCCTTCCCCACCTCCTCTAACTCGTCATTATCCATCTCCGCCTCCCCGACGACGCTATCCATCTCCGCCTCCCCGAGCTTTACCGCCAGTTCCACTGCCTCCATCCTACACCTATGAACGACCTGGTGATGACTACTATTACAGGAGTGACCATCGTAGGGTTTTGGATTTAGAAATGAGGCCGAGGAATCTTCCTATAGACTATTCCTATAACCTGTACAGGGAACCTGTTTTATACCGTGAACCAGCATATCCGCCGAGCTTGCCTGTTGCATACGCTGCTAGACCTCAGGAACCACGTTCGCCGCCTAGGTATCTTTACTGAGGAAGGTTGGTGGCTTGCCTGGATATGTGAGGGAGTGACTGATTCTCATTACGCATAGCATTTGTAGGGTGTCAGAACATTTGTAGGGTGCCTCAGAACTATCTGTCTTTGCTTACTTTTCAGGACTTATTCTACTTTGTTTTGCTGAAAGATTCACTCTGATCATTTTAGTATTTCAGATTTCTCTTTTGCTGGTTATGAGCGCAGGTGAGGAATGTTTTTTGTTTTGTTGAAAGATTTAACTCTGATCATTTTTGTATTTCAGATTCTCTTTTGTTGTTTAAGAGCGCAGGTGGGGAATGTTTTATATATATATATTTGCTGATAATAGTATGCATGGTATTGGTGTGGCTGTGCTATTATATTATGCACTAGCTAATAGATGCTGCTTTCCTAGTGTTGTTTCCTGTAACTAACTTTACTATTGAAGGCAGGATTTATATGGGTTTTTTGTTGGTACAGAGTTGTTGACTTTGCTTAGCATCTTTTTAATTTTATTATTATCGTTTTCATTTTTCTATTGGGAACTGTACATATGTATAAAACAATTCTCATGTATTTACATATCCCTTTTTTTCCCCCACCATATGGCACCTTTTTATATGGGAAAAAAATGCAGGAAAAACTTGGGTAGTTTGCAAACATTTGAGATGGTGCCACTCTTTTCAGTCAGCCTGCCCCATATGCCTTATTAACTACTAGCTCATAGAAACTAATTTTCATAGTAAACATGCAAACGCATTTCTAACCTCAATATGAAATTCAGAGCAGATTGAAATGGCTCGATGATGTTCGAAGTCATCGGAAATGACGTCTAATTATAAAATAAATCATCTGAGCTCTTCTGGAATGTTGAAATTGTTTAGAGGGCCGTCAATGGTCGAAGAAGGTAAGCATAGCAAAAATGATAGGTCGGGACTCGAATACTACTAGTTAAAATCACTTGAATAACCACGCAGACTTCATTTAATTCATATGCAATCAGAACATTAAGATCTGAAATCAACTATTGTATATGTTTTACATTTAGTGCGATGATGTGCAATCCAAAAATACACTTAGAAATGAGACAGATAAGAAAAAAATTATAAAAATTAGAATATATTATATATATTTATCAGTAAAAAATTACTCTTGGTCATCCTTTGTCCTGCAAATCGGACGCATGAGCCTTCGTCCCAAATTCCCAGTTTGAAAAAAAAGAACTTTGCACGCGTCAGTCAATTATTATCTATTTACTCGTCTAAAATGTAAAATTTTAATTTTTACTTGAAAAATGTATTTCAATTTTTAAAAAGGCACAATGATAATAATTTTGATATATAATATATAAGATTTGTGGTATAAATGTAAAAAAATCATAATTTAGGTGTTAAATACGTTAATATATGTGAATCGAGTGGTATTTATGTAAAGCCCCCAAAACAAAGGTGATAATAATAATAAAACGGTCTCCCCTACTTGTCGTGTGCTGATTTTCTAGACTTCCCTGTTATATGCTAGATGATTTTTTTAGAAGTGCGATACATAGAAGTTATTAAAAAATAATGGAACTTTTGAAAAAACAATTTTAAAAGCAGAAGGCTCGCGGTGGAATTATTTGGAGGCTCGCGGTGGAATTATTTTGAATAGTTTCTCTTAACTCTTCTCATGCTTTTATTTACTGTTTCGTATATTTTATTTTTCTTGAAGTTTATTAATATTCTGTTAAAAAAAATTCAGAATTTGTAACTGTTTTTAACTTATAATAATAATAATAATAATAATAATAATAATAATAATAATAATAATAATAATAATAATAATAATGATATTGATGATGATGATGATTATGATGATGATGATGATGATATTTATATTTATTACTAAGATTAATAATAATAATAATAATAATAATAATAATAAATTCAATAAATGAATAATAATAATAATAGTAATAATAATAATATATTTTCTTGCAAGTTGATTTATTTGCTAATGTATAATTATGCATTTGATCATCTAAGGTAATTTAGTTTCAAATCTCATCTATGTTATGACAATATCAACTAGTGAGCACATTTATACTAACGAACATATTTATACTTTTTGAGTGATTAGATCAGTTAGTGAAATTCATTGCTTTAAACATTGTATTGTTTAAAAGAAAAATAGAACTTTGTTACAAAGACATAAATAATCTAATGAGAGCTTGAGACAGAAGAGATCTTATACACCCCCTTCTCACTTGGAAGTTCTCTTAGCCTAAAAATTAACTTTGATTATACATTTGGAGAAATTTTAGCTAGATACTTGAATATTTATAAGAGTGTACTACAAAATCACATTATCTAAGAAGAGCTTTGTTATTTTCATATTAAAATAAGTAGTTAATAATAATAATAAATTGAAAATCATAATTTTTAACTTCAATGACAACAAAAAATCATTTGTACTCATATATTAAACAACTGACTTGACTCAACTCAAAATATATTAGGTAGGTTCATTAATCAAAGATGAGTCAAACTTTAACCTCTATGTTATAGAATGGTGCATTAGTTACTTCTGTTAAATTCAACCTAAGCACATAAGAGGTCATGTCGACTTCTGTGTATACCAACACAATCAACCTTTGATGAGTACTTCATGCTCTAAGTGGTGATCCTAGGACTCACACTATATCTATCGTATGCAGATTTCCTATCGGCCAGGGTATGTTACAACTCTAATTGAAGACAACGAGGTTAGAGAGTGTGAACTGCAAGTTTCTTAACAACAAAACTTGGCACTCTACAAAAAAATTAATAATAAAATGATATCTAAAATGGTAGTTGGTTCCTTGAAAATATCCGACATATGACTGAATCAATTTCTCAGTATCAAATTTATTGAATTATCGAGACTATAGTCTTATTAGGCATTTTTGTTTCGAGCCAAGTCATCTTCCACATATACATATGAATGGCATTGCAAAAGATGATACTCAAATAACACAGGAGAGAGAAGGATATGAGACTATGGATGTGGCACATGTAGTGATTCTGATAGTAACTCCAAAATAGAACATATGCACTCATAGAGATAGACGTGCTTGAGATTATGACTCATAGATTGATTATAGAGCATTCCAAAATTAATGCATCCATTCTTGATGATATGATATTCTACAATGGTTACATTTGATCGTGTCATACAATAATGAAATGTGATGAGGATATCAATATTGATGCTCCAATGTGTCCAATAAAGACAATGCCTGATGGGCAAATAAAAAATGTGTTATATGAGGGAACAATATTCACCACAAAAGCACAATTACAGTTTAAAGTAAAAGATTAGTACATCTAATAAAATATTGAACTTCAAAGTATACATTCTAATAAATCCTAGTTAGGTTTGATGTGTATGCACTATAACCATACATCTCGATCATGCAGTAGTGTTTGCATGCGGCTAAGAGCAAGAGGCTTCTGAGAGCATGAACATATCATCTGTCACTGATCATCACTCTTATACAAATAAAATTTTGATCGGTGGACACCGTCCGTGTACATCTAAATTTATATTATTACATTCTCACTATCAGTACGATTTGAAGTCTAAACAGATTATTGCTTATATAGAGGTTAAACCCAAAGTCTGAGTATCTTATATGAACACATGTGATGCAAGGCAAAAGTTCATCAAGTTTACTTCGATAGTTGAGAGGAGTGTTATACTCATTTCATAAGTTAATGGTAGCGTTTTCATTATAATGCTAGGATCCATTTATAAGATCAAATATGATAGTACACCTTAATTTCAATGACTCTTTTGAGCATTTGGGCCATATATATAAGGCTAGAGTAACTTTTGACATATTGAGTCACGACAAAACATGTTTACTAAGAAAATATCATAGAACTTTATTAAGTGTTGTTGGTGTTGATGCAAACAATGACCTCTACACTTTGACATTTGTGGTAACTTAGTTTGAGTGTAATGAATCATTGATATGGTTTTCATGGAATTTATTTTATCTTTTTCCTATGGTTGGAGCACATTCAGATCTTTGTATAATATCAGATCTCAATTCAGGCATTATTTGTGGATGTAGATAAATTGTCCACTTGGTGGCACATAGATTCTGCTTAAGGCAACTTAGAGAAAATTTCAAAATGTTAATTAAATAGATAAGTATTATTAATAAAGATACATCATTTAAAATTATGCATTGGGCAGAAAATACAAATGAGACTTGTTTATTAAACAATATGATTGATATTCATAATATTAAATAAGATGCATATGATTGGTTGATTTCTAGGGATATTACAAGATAATCTATATCACATGATGGTGAAAGAAGATATGAAATAATGACAACTAAATCATTAGAATGCTTCAAAAGTATCCTTCATCGAGCTAGATGACTTCCTATTCAAGCATTGATTTTCTCAAGAAAAATTACAACCTCGTATAATTATTTCTTAGACAATATAACATTACTAAAGATCTTCATGCAGTAAATGAGTCACCAATGACCACTAGAATCTCTACAATACTACAAAGTTTTGAAATTGAAGCTAGAAGCTTTCCTGCACCAGTTCACATTAACTGTAATGAGTATGAAGTGTCGACTTCAGTAGTCGATCATGCCATGTTGACTTACACGACGATGGAGGTTACAATTTTAGTTGCAAAATAATTGAGGAATATTATATACCTTACCTTCATGTCATATATGCTTCAGATCACAAAAAATATCAATTATCTAACACCTCTCAATATTGCCTTATTGAGTTTTTCAAGGAGATGTACCCATCGAAATTCCATGTTATCTCTTGACAAGCATCATGGCTTGATTTTGACCTATCGACTAACCTCATTAAGTAAGTTCCACCAATCATTAGACGAAGAGCAAGAAGAGCACATAAAAATCCCTACAAAAATACAATGAACGAGCAAATAAATTGAGGCCATATGATATGTTGATTGTGTCATACTGTCAAACATTACTAATCAACTAGTCCTACAAACACATAAAGTATTATTTAAAATAATTCAAACACTATAATTCCTAAGAAGATAAATAATTTTATGATAATTTTCCATGTTTTGTTTGCAGGCATCATGACAGACACTAGACATACTTGGGGATAAGGAGATGGAGCATCACATTCTAACGATGCACAATAAGATGTACAAAGGAAATGGATGTTGGAAAAAACCCTATGAGCTTTATCATTTTGTTGCTTCACTATGTAGGATAAATCAAGCAACACATCCAGATGAGGTAGTGCTAAAT